TAAAGAAATTTAACAGTGCGACTAAAAGTAATGAGAGGGCTTTATTACATTTTAATAACGCAAATGCGTGGCAAAACATGTGTCTTTATTCTTAAGAAACCAGGTTTTCCGCATGCCATTCTTTAATTCATATCCATTATAGAGAACCAGTCGGTCGCTGGCGGCTGTCTATCAGGTATTTTCGTTGTTTTAACGGTTGTTATTTAGTTCCGTTTCCTTGTTTCGGCTGAATGCGTTTCGATACCTTGCACTTTCAATGACTGAAGCACGTGACTTCTTATCATTTTTACGGAAGGCATATACCTCCTGTTCATCGCTAGTTTTAGATATGCTTTTAATCTTTACAATTGAATTGCACCTTTAATCTACGATGCAGGAAGCAAAAATCTTCCAGAAGAGGTATCATGCATGAGACTTGTGGCAGAATTTGCAATTGGTCTTGACTAATTTCAGTATGGACAAGTTATCAACGAAAAAAGAAATCGCGAAACAGTATACACCTCTTCGTTCGATGTGCTTACATACATCTCAATCAAATGAAGAAAAAAGTAGAAGACATTTAGCAGCTTTCCTAAAAACTACTTTAATGTAATTTATAAATGTCATTTGAGGCGTTATTCTGACAAAGAATACTCTCTAGCTGTCAAGTAACAGTCAAGAACTTTTAACTGTCGTTAGGTAAAGAAGCTGAAGCGAGGGCAAGACAAATTTTATTTAAAGCAAATTTAAATATGACCTCAAAGACATTTTTATTTCAATCCAAAATGAGGGTCTCATGCTGCGTGTTACTGCCTTCTTTTCATCTTTCATTACGGCTTCGCCTTTCGGGTCATTCTGGAAGACGCGTCAGGCAGTGCTTCCTGTGCCAGAGTTTGAAATTCAGGCAGAGGACGGGTCTCGTACCAGCTTTCTTTCTTTTCCTCAATCTTATTCCTCATATGTTTTTCACGCCCTCTATTCTTTACAATTAAACCGATCTACCGCCCTTCAAGTTAGTTCATTCATCTCCTCCCACAGCTGTGTCTCGCAAAGGATAAGGATGTCTCATTGCATCCATTGGTCGGTATAACCTTTCTTCTATGATTAGTAATCCATGGGATTTTTTACAGCCTTTAAAATAATGTTTGCTGCTCACTGACACGCTTCTGAAATATTTTGAAACTAGCCTGATGATGTAGTTGAAACTTCACTTAAACAAGTCTGATTTTTATGCACTACACACTTACAAACAGACATCACCAAGACGTCTCTAGATTACGGATATTGAAGTTCACACTTAGACGTATAGCAAACACTATGCTTACATATGTACTTCATCCTTGCCTTCTATAACCGCTTCTCCTTTCGGATCATGAAGGCAGACGTGCCAGACAGTGCTTCCAACATTCTCGATTCATTGCTAGAATCTGAACTTCCGCAGAACGCAATCGGAATCTACAGCAGATTCATACTTCGTATAATTGCATCAAGTTTCTCCTGGCAGTCTGCTTCGTCTTCTGTCGGTCAACTGGGCAAGAAAAAGTTGATTCGCCTTCCTTCCTGAAGGTATCCGCAACATGCGTCGAAATTATCGCAGCTATTACTTCTCAATCTGAACAAGCAGCGGCTATTTATCAATCTTCTCGGTGGTTCCTGTTCCACGGATCATGTCAAGACGCGTTCCTCTTGCAACTCGTCTCAGAAGCCCATTTCAAGCGCTTGTACCTGGGATCGAAGTGTTTCAGTCACGATCCACAACTCATGACCGTAGGTGTAGATGGGGATGAAGATCGACTTGAACACCAAGAGCTCAGTCTACAGGCTCAGCTTTGCTTCGGTTACAGTGGTTCGCGTAGTTCACGTATAACTACATCGAGTACTTGAATT